TTTTGAGGTTTTATTTTAATTGTGAGCTGCCCGGAGTCACCCTCTGGGGGAGATGGGTGGCATATAAATTTAATAAATAAATAAATTTAATAAATAAACACAAATAAATAAAAGCAAACCAAAAGCATAAAAACAGATTAGGCCAAACAAACAAGTAAAATATTTTAAAACAGAATTGCCAAACTTTGGCAAGAGGCACATTTGGAATTTTGAGAGCATTTTATGAATACTTCACAAAATGACTGTCATGATGGGTAAGGTTGATCACAAATTACCCATCTACTACAAGGCAAATAAATCTCTGGGCTGCAGGCCCCAAATATTTTTCTAAGAATGCCTCTGGGGTTTATGCAGGGCCAAGATGCATAGTTGGAAATGCAGGCTATACTTGAGGCTGGTGATTATGCTTGAGCAATCTGGCTATATATTCATTTTTTAAATTAAAAAAATTGAAAAATTAAATTCAATAAGGCAGAGAATTTGATGGTGCCAAGAAATATATTGGCAACCATACTGTTACCTCCAGGGATCACACTGGGAACTCAAAGTTTTGAAAAATCTGGTCAAATAAGGGAGTGTCAATCCAACACCACTGAAAATTAGTCGGGTTTCAATAAAGAGGGGAGAAAAAGAGCCAGGGAAGATCATCGCTGTGGTACCCATCAGCTCCCAGCACTATGATCCTTACTTTTATTGACCCTTACAAAGAAAGAACAGGTTAATCTAAAGAGCTAACCTTTGCAGAACTGTCCTTTGTCAAGAGCAGCCAAGAGACTCTCAGAGAAACTTGCAATTGCTGGTGTAATTTTTTCTTTCACAAGTGGTCTGTCAAACATGTAAATGCAAACATAGTTTATAATTTTACTGAAGACTAAGGGTTAGTCTCTGAGCTTCACCTTTGAACTATGACCTCATTTTACCCTCCAATATACTCAAGGGCATGAAAAAAGAAACAGAAGTAGTGAATACTGAGTGAGAAGAGAGATAATTTGTAATTTGCCTTGGGCAATTTGGCCTTAGAGTTATATTAACACTATGTTTAGCTGTACATTCATGCATAAGAAAATCTGAGTAGTGAATTGAGGGTCACATTCTCAGATGTATTTGGTTCTCTTTACATGCAACACCCAAATTAAGATATTTCGCATGGAAAATTAATGGGTCTTTGGAAACAAATTATTTGAAACAAGAAAGAAATCCAAGTCCTTAATTTCTGTTAACATTGTTTGCTACTTTGTTAATGCAACAAGTGTTAGCATGATCACAGACAGCTTCTGAGTAACACTAGAGGCCACAAGGGAAGAGTAATAAAATCAAGAAATGTGCCCAGGTATCGTTGGCAATACTGCAGATGATCTTGAGTTGCAACTGTTGGATTTCTGTTCCTCTATTTAGCCAGGAAAGTATTTTGGGTTATTTTACTATTTCTAACTTCCTAGTTCTCATTGATGTCGTTCTAGAAAGCAGAAGGATCTCTGAAGTCTACAGGTCAATTACACTACATGGACTCTACTGTGTGGGAAGAAGTAAAAAATATGCCAAGGTGGTTGATAATTGCCTTATATGTGGAAGTACTACAAGGGCTGCCCAGGGTTGTGAAAGATCAGCTGTGTTTCTGCTTCTGGGTAATCTGATGCAAGACAGAATATGATCTAGCACAGTCTTCTGTTCTTTTTCTTCCATCTTCTTATTTCTCAAATATCTTCTACTCAGTCTAAAATAAAATTGAATGGATACTGTAACAGCTACATAAAATTGCTTGTACTGTACCTGTCTCCTGTCATTTCAAAGTGTCAGATTTTAGAGATTATGCTTTCCACTATAATTCACAACATGTGCACTACCCCCTGCCCAACAAACATCTCTCCAATGTACTTTTGTTTTGCTAACACAAATTTTGAAAACAGATTAGGTTATTACCCTTTTGTAACTTTTAATTCTTGTTATTTTTCTTTATTGTAAACAATTGGATCTGGTTCATGCATCCCTGTTTTTTACTTAGTGTGATATACAAACTCAAATGAGCAGAGCCAATATGCTTATTAAGTATGAACAGACTCTCTGCTCTGGGTTTCAACAGGAAGATAATTTGCATAGTTCTCCTTTCATTATAGAGTTGAATCAGACACACTATACAGTATTTTCCCTGTTACTAAAGCTGATAAAATTATTGTGAAATATATAGTTTCTTGGGATGATGGATCTTATACAGCCAATTAGAATTCTCTTAATCATCTGCTGGTGGCTGAACTTGCACTGATTCTTAAAGGCAGGTATCTGAACTACAAACTACCAATGCAACTATTTAGGAGAAATATCCTAAATGAATTAATTACTCATACAGGTAGTCCTTGTTTAGCAACTGCCTCATTAAGCAATCATTTGCAGTTATCTCAGTGATGAAAAAGTAACTTTATGACCAATCCTTGCATTTATGACCTTTGCAGGTCTCGAAAGCAAAAGAAAGGTGAAGTAAGATTATAAGCCTGGTCGGTGTTTCACTTAGCCACCGCTTCACTTAACAACCAATCCCAACTGTTGCCAGTCCCAGCTGTGCTTGCTAAACAAGGATTACTTTTACATTTAAAATATGAAATTGTGAAACTGATCCAACACTAAAGATTAATGTATCAACATAATCAGTAGTGTTTAAATACTTAAATGGCCAGATTAGCCCTTTACCACTGGCATAGCACAGCCCTGGCAACAGATATCTTCCACTTCAAATTGGGTTAACAGAAATGAATGAATCCAGTTTTAGTACTGATAGAACTGTAGCAAGATTATGATTCAGTTTATGTCCTTCCCGTTAATTGGCACCCTGTTCTAATGTAGTAACTGCGAAATGACTAAACCAAAATGGGAATTAAAGAGTCTTTATTGGGTCTTAAAATGGATCATTACCTACACTACCTAAGCTTGCTTAACAAGTTCTGAGGAAACCCACATCACTTGTGTGCTTCCAGATATGGTTAAGACATACATACCCTTTAGCTGATTCTGTAAAAACAAGGGGATACTTCTCAAATGCCATTGATCCAATAGAGGGAGGTTCTGCTTTCTTTAGGATGAGTCCAGAGAGAACTGCTAAGGCCTCTTCTTGGATCACAGCATCATCTCCATAGATACAGTACTCAATGTACTCAAGGAGGCTGGGAAGAAATTGCTAAAAAGAAAAGAACAATACAGTACAAGACTTTTCAAGCTAGGACAAAGGCACACCAGAATCAGGAAGCCAGTTTTCCCCATAAACACAGATCTTAGTCTTATTTAATTCTAGAGGCTTATAAAAAGAGTATGCCATAATCCTCTAAACCAGGACCAGCCATTTTTTTCATCTGGGGCTCCCACTGTTTATGGGAATCCCCATGTGTGTGCCATTATAATCTCCATGAATCCTCAGGGATGGATTTGAGGAGATGTACAGAAAATAGGCATGTTATATCTTCCAAAGGCTTCACACATCTTTTTTCACCACTTCAGCTGTCAAAGAGAGAGAAAAGGGGGGGGGGAAATCACACAGCCCCAAATCGCCATTTTGCTGCTGTTTTGCTGTTTCCTGGGAGTGGCAAAAACGTACCTGGAAGGCTACAGATTGGCCACAGGTTGCCCACCATGCCTCAACAGGTGAAGGATTCAATAAGTGGGCATCTAATGTGTGCTTTCTTCCCCCTATTCTAGCATTTATTTATTTATTTACATTAAAATTTTATACTGACCAACTCCCAGCCACCCTAAGCAGGCAGCTACATTGCTCATCTTCTTCAGTGAAATCTTTAGGGGTCCTAAAAGCAAACTACAGGGAAATGGCAGCATTTAGGCAACCCTCTCTAAATGCTAAGTAGGGTCAGGCCTGGTTAGTATTTGGATGAAAGGCCAATAGGAACAGAATAGGGGCAACTGAAAAAAAAAAAATTCCCAGAAAGCAGTGGTGGTAACCACTTCCCTACTGCTGCCAAGAAACATGTCTGTGAAGTCTCCAAGAATCAAGCTTGACTCAAGGGAAACTACTCATTTAAAAGCAGCCTATACATTTTAATATAAAAACAAAATTAAATTATTTGCCCTCTAAGAGATACATTTAGAACTTCTCTTTAACTTTCGAACATTCTTAATATACAGTGGTACCTCGGA